CAGAACCACAGCGACACCTGGTGGTATTTTGTCAGAATCAACTTCAGCAGCTTTAGTTTCAAATCTCATTTAATGAGTTTGTTCTGATTTTAACTGAACAGCAGCAACACAGACACACAACAGACCAGAACCCATCCAGAACCCATCCAGAACCCATCCAGAACCCGGCTGGTGCCCACTGAGGTTCTGCAGTGTTCTATCTGTATCAAACCGACCATTTTAATAAATGCTCATTTGTTCTTCCACAGAATCAGACGACTGCTGACTGCATTTACCTCAAACAGGATTTCACAGATATCTGAAAGAAAGATTTCATTTATTAAGGATCAAAAATGGTCTTTTAGCTCGATTCAGCAGATCGTCCTCGTGTTCTGGAATTACAGAAAATATTTAATAAAATCACAGAAAAAAAGTCTCCATTTATTTGTTAGTTGGAAAAACAACAACAACAACAAACAGGCCAAAACATAAAACAACAACACATAATTTTATTGTATGTTAATCAGCTAAAATATTTGTATTTTTCAGATATTTTCTGGTATTTTCACCTTTTTGCAGTTTAGAAATTTTGCAGTGACAGAAGCTAGCTTTAGCTGTGGAAACATGAAATAAGCCAACATGTGTATGAACTTAGAAGAAGGTAGAGTCCTGCTAGTTTCCAAATCCAAGTTCAAAACATATTTTTAGACGCTGGTTTTTCAGTTTAGACCAAATTTAAATTGTATCTAAGTGCACAGTAGCACTGAGACTCACGATGTTGGTGATTAATTGTTGATGTGTTTGTTGCCGTTAATAGATGAAGCGGTGAATCAGAAGACGAGGGACACTCCTGTCAGGGAATGTGTTGTACATTAGCTGCAGTACCTGGCTGCTCCACCAGGTGGAGCCTCTTCCTGTGTAATCAGATGGAGTTACATGGTGGACTATAAATGACAAAGTGTGGTAGATTTTCCCTCCAAAGTTACCAAAACACCTCAAACCGTCTGTGCTCATTTCAGGTTCATCCATCATGAAATCAGACTGTCCTGGTCTTTGTCGAAGGTGGAGAACTTCTGTCCATTGTGAAAAGTCAGGGAGTCTCCTGCAGAAAGTGTAAATTCACAACAAGATGTTGATGAACCGTTAATGAATTAACTGGAGTCAGACTCTGTAAACAAAGATGGACGAAGACATGACGTCACTCATTGGACGACGTTTTGAAGCCTCCAGCGTGATGTTTGGTGACATCATACTGACTTTACACTTTGAGCGTCTCAGACTGCAGTGTGAGCTGAGCTGGCATCATCTTCTTTACAACTGGAACTGTGCAGAGGATTGTGGGTCAGAAGGACCAGAGACCTGATGTAGTAGAACATCCTGGTACTGTTAGAAGCCCATGTACTGGGACACAGTAAGTCTTTCTCTGCCACACTGTATAGGATGGAGGTAAGATGTTGGAACCTGCCTGTGCTCGCCCATACGGAGGTGATCTGTCAATCATACGGTAGCCCCGCCCTGAAACATTCTGAACTTCATGGTCTGGTTTCCTCTAAAGGGAACCGTAGTTTCCTCCATGAACATCGTGCTGGGTCGAAGCAGACTTTAAACTAAAACATAAACTCATGAGCAGAATGTCTCCTGAGAACAGATCAGGTGAGAAGGAGGATCATTTCTTCTTCTACACGGAGTTCTTTAAATGAGCGGAGGAGGCGCCCCCTGCTGGCTATTAGACAGAACTCAGGTTTAAGGCTTCACGTTCAGACCTTTAGTTGACATCAGAGATCTCCAGCTCCGGCCCTCGTGAGCTCCTGTCCTGCAGGTTCTAGACGTCTCCACACCGCAGCACACCCGACTCACATTCATGGATCTCCAGCAGCTTGTTGCAAGTTCTACACAAGTCTGGTAATGATCCATTAATGTGAGTCCGGAAACGTCTAAAACCTGCAGGACAAGCTCACAGGACCGGAGCTGGAGATCATGTTGAAGTGATGCTGTGAGCATAAACCAGTGAGGAGGCAGTGAACCCTGACAGACCTGCTGCCCTCATGAAGCTGCCTTCCACTGAAGCTCTGAGGAACACCGCTGGTCCACAACAGGTCAGTTGTAGCTCAAGGTAAAGACGTTTTGACCCACCTGCTCCTCCATCAGAGAACCCAGACACATGGAGTCTGTATCCGTAGGATTCTGACTCGATGTAGAACGTGGAGTACCGAGTGAACGCCTGGTTCCCACTGAAGTCCTCCATGTCCACCAGCAGCTCGTATCTTTTCTTCACAGAGAGTTGTAAGACGTTCTCAAGGCCTGAAAACACAGAAACATCTTCAGACCTTCATGGCTACACGTCCATGAAGCCACTTCACAAACCAGAACAAAAACAAGCCCCAGTGAGGAACCCTGCTCGGGGTTCCCAGGTTCTGTCTGGACTCTCACCCAGCCAGTACTCTCCAGCAGCGTTACCAAAGCCCGTCTTGTAGTCGTTCCAGGTCCTGTAGAAGTTCACCGAGCCGTCCAGCCTCCTCTGGAACACCTGAGCAGATGATTCAGAGCGTCAGGGTTCAGACGGCACAGCTGGAAGCTGCAGAGTTACTGTGATGAGCTTCAACTCACCGTCCAGCCGCCTCCCTGGGACTCCATGTCACAGTAGACCTGCACACACACACTCATCAGATAACTGGGACCACTAGGACCACTGGTTCCACTGGGACCAGGTCCTCACATGTCTCATCATGAGTCAGTAGTTGGAATCAGAAGGCCTCCGTCCTCAGGCTGCTTTCTGACACTGAACTCAACATTGTGGATCAGAGCTGCACCCACATGGTTCTGTTCAGGCCCGCTACCGATTACTGGTAATCAATGACACCGATCACTGATGTCTGGAACTGATCAGCAGATGCAGCGAAAAGAAAATCTCTGAGATCAAACTCAACACAAAGCTTTGTTGTTTACGTCTGTGTCACATGTTGAAGGAACGGACTGCTGATTGGCTGATGCAGGTGATCTCTAACCAATCAGAGAGCTGTGGGCGGGACATTACCGAGGCCAGAGAGTGGCTGAAGGTGGGTTAGGCTGTTCTGGACAACTTTAAGTCTCTTTGGACACGTTTAAGTCAGACTGTGACATTGAAAACACTAATCAAAGGCTTATGAAGCTCGACCCAGAAGGGTTTTGTCTTTTGACATTCCCAAAATATATGCCGATGGCCTGCCTCCTGAACCCCACACTGTCTCCAGCAGCTGGTTGTACCTGTACCACAGTGTAGCTTTTGCTTTGGTGTTAGAAAAAAAGCACATTAGACATTTCCAGTTAAAGTCTCGCCATTTGTGGGAGTTTGTACATTTCCAGTTAGACTCACAAACATGCAGCCATTCTTCATTAGGTATTAGCAGGTCTCTTTCACTCTCCCATTTGTCTTTAATGTATTCTGTTGAATGAGACTTCTTCATCTGAAACCCTTTATAAAACCTACCGATCGCTCCTTTAACCAAAGTAGTTTTATAATCCTTCACAAAAATTACTAATATTGGGTCATCAGTGTCTGTTTTAGTGGCAACATTTTGTTGAAAATAGTTCTGCAACTGTGGATATCTAAAGAAGTCTGAATTACTCAGCCGGTAATCAGTGTTTAAACTATCAAAATCTGTCATCATTCTGTTTTGTGTAAGTGAATAAAAAGTAGTCACAGCACCAAGAACCCAGTGTTTAAATGTTCTGTCTGAGATTAGGCCCAAACCCAGGATCAAAACCACACCGTTGTAGTATTTGCACTTTTCCTCATATTTTTAACTGAGTTCTAATCCACGGCTTATGAACCTTCTTCCATCCATTATCTATACACCGCTTAATCCTCACCAGGGTCATGGGGGGCGGAGTCTATCCCAGCTGACTCAGGGTGAAGGCAGGTTCACCTGGACAGGTAACCAGTCTATCACAGGGCTACACTTAGAGACAGACAACCAAGCACACTCACATTCACACCTACAATCACCAATTAACCTCAGCATGTTCTGGACTGTGGGAGGAAGCCGGAGAACCCGGAGAGAACCCACGCTGCACGGGGAGAACATGGAGACTCCACGCAGGAAGATCCCGGGTGTCCTCACCGGGACACCAACCGGCGACCTTCTAGCTGTGAGGCCACGGTGCTGACCACTGAGACACCTGCAGCCCCATGAACCTTCTTAATATGTTTATCTAAGTTTGTGTGAGCTGCTTGGATTGGAGGATCCTTCATTGTTGAGAGTTCTATGTCTTTCCATCTAGCATGAAATTTTGGGGAACACATATTGATAAGCGGTTTGACCTGAGCTGCATGAAAATATCCTTTGGAGCATGGTAAGGCCATGCCTCCCTCTGCTTTTGAGAGCTGGAGTGTTTTATGTTTGACCCTGGGTCTTCTGTCTTGCCAAATAAATCTGGAAATGAATCGATCAATCTCTGAAAGTTCTTTCTGTGAGATTTCCACTGGGAGTGCTTGAAACAAAAATAAATATCGTGGGTTCATTTTCACTCTGTCAACTCTGTGACTCAAACTGAGTTCCATCTTCTAATGTCTTCTTTCATTTTTGTTAGTAAGGGGCCAGAATTCATTTCTGCCAGTAAATAAATTCCCAAATATTTAAGCGACTGTTGATTCCATTTAAGAGGATATTTCTCGGCAAGCTGTTTTGGGGGCGAGTAATTAAATGATGAAACTTGTGTCTTTTGTATGTTTAATTTATAACCAGAATATTTACCAGATTTTTGTAAAATGATCATCAACTCGGGAAACGTGGGAGAGGGCTCGGATATATACACCAAAACATCATCTGCATATAAAGCAACTTTGTGGTCTTCTCCATTTACATGACTTCCTTTCATACTTTCTGTCTGTCTCAACCATTGTTCAAGTGGTTCTATATAAACAGAGAAGAGGAGTGGTGAAAAAGGACAGCCCTGCCTCCACCCACGCTGCTCTGTGATAGGTTCTGACAGATGCACGTTAATTTTAATTCTATCAGAAGGACTATTATGCAACGTGTGGATAACCTGAACAAAATTACTGTGTACCCCGAATCGTCCCAATACTTTATACAGGAAGGCCCAGCTGACTGAATCAAAGGCTTTTTCAAGGCTCACTAGAAGAGCCTCTGATTTGTTGTATTGAGGATATGCAATGAGCGTCTAATGGTATCATGAGTCTGCCTCTGCAGGACAAAACCAGTCTGGTCTGTATGTATGAGATGTGGAAGCATCTTCTCTCATCTTTTAGCAAGAATAGCTGTAAATAATCTACAATCAACATTCAACACTGAAATTGGCCGATATGAGCCACATTCTAACTCATCTTTTCCCTCTCATTGGCATTTAGATTGTTTAAGGACTGAATTAGAGGCCCTGAGAAGGCTCGGCAGTCACTCATTCTGGAATGCTTTGTACCAATGTGAAGGAAAGCCGTCTGGGCCACGTGTCTTATTAGCCTTCAGTCTGGAGGTGGCGCCATTTAGTTCTTTCTCTGATATCTCAGCTGTCAACATGTTGTTTTGTTCTTCAGATAAAGGAGGCAAATTAAGAGAGCTGAGGAACGTCTCCATCTGCGATTCACTTTCTAGGGGTGGCTGTGTACAAACTTCTAGAATACTTTTCAAATGCTTCTTGTTTCTGCAAAACAATAGAGTCTGGATCTTTAATTTTATATATTGTACTGTTGCTCTTTCTTTTGTTATCTTCTAGTGAGAATTTTTGCTGCTTTGGGGCGTCGTAGTATTTTTGCTTTACAAAGACAAACTTCTTTTCAGTTTCCTGTGTGTCCAACAAATTTATTTCATTTCAGATTTTCTTGAATTCGTTCAGTAAATTAGAACATTATGTTTTTATATTGCATTTCCAAATCCTTCAGCTTTTTGTTGAGGTCCATCTGTCTTAATTGTTTCTCTTTCTTATTATAAGCACTCCAAGATAGAATTATTATTTTTTTTATCCCATACGATAGAAGAATCAACCTCTCCTGTATCATTAATCCTCAAAACGGTTTTATTTCCTTTCTCATCTGAGCCACAAACTGTAGGTTGTTTAAAGCGCTTGTGTTTAGTCTCCAGAGTGTTTCGTGGAGCATCACCGATGTGTATTGAGCAAAACACAGGAGCGTGATCAGATAAATCAGTGGAGCCAATGTCACAGCTGTTCATTCTGTAGCGGTCTCTTTTAAACACACAAAAATAATCTATTTGTGAGTAAGTATCATGTGGGTGTGAGTAGAAAGTATAATCACGACTTGAAGGGTGGAAATCTGGCCAAAGGTCTAATATCCCCAATTCATCTATCAAGTTACTCACTGTTTTATGTATTGCAGTCGTGGGTACATTTTTGGTCAGGATGAGGACGAAGGTTCCAGTCACCTCCACAGATTACTATTCCTGGTGAGCCAATCATTAAATCCAACACCTTTCTGTAGAAAACAAAATTACTTCCAGGTGGAGCGTAAATACTTCAAATAGTTATTATTACGTTGCTGATCTTTCCTGAAACTATGACGTATCTCCCTCCTCTATCAGACTCCTCCCAGATAAATTCAAATGGCATGTTTTGCTAAATCAATATTATGACTCCTCTCCTCCGTCCATTCTGATGGGATGATCAATATGCTCTTGTGTGGCCCATTCTTTTCATCTTCTCATGAGATGCGTCTCCTGTAACACTGCAGTTTGACCATTCTCCCGTTTTACCGTTGATCATATTTTACTTCTTTTAACCGGTTTGAAACCCTTTTACATTAAATGAAACCACCTGAATGTCCTGTGTGTTCATAATAACTTTAGTATAATCACAAACTAGAAGGGAAAGGACTCTGATTCGGTTTCTTCTTCTTCCCCTTCCTCAAACTTGTGCACAAACAGTTTCTCTCCTCCAAGATGACGCGTCTTTAAACCTTCAGACTGTTGATGAAACACATCGATCATAAATAAAAACCTTTCACCAAAGATTTGTGACTTTAAACATGAATCAGTTCCAAATATCAGTCATTGATCTCCTTGACTTCTAATAACCGGTGTGCGGCCTGTAGAACCCATATGGGTGGATCCCTGGCATTAGCTTGGGAACCTCGATGGGTTCTGTGGAGCAGTTCTCAGGGGAACCTTTACCTGGACACCAGACGTGGCTCCGATGGGGTAGATGATGTACACTCCACTGGGTCGACTCTGGTCCAGGTCGTGGATGTCGCTGCAGTCCGACGGGAGGAAGGCGCCCGAGCAGCTGGTCCACAGTGGAACCAGCAGGAGAACCGACAGCAGCAGCAGCTTTCAGGAGAACAACATCACATGTGTCAGACGGCAGTGAAAGCAAACCTCCAACACACTGAACACAACAAGCAAAGAGCTGCTCAGCATCAGCACATCACAATATTTACTGGATCCTTCCAGAAAAGTGCAGCAAGAAGCTGGAAACAGTTTACACAAGATCATTGATCAGACGGGTCTGAACTGAAGATCAAAGCTGCAGACTCACCGTCATTGTCAGAGAGCTGATGTGACCGACGTCAGTGAGCTGCATTTATATCCCAGAGATTAATAAATGACTGACCACGTCGGCTTCACACTGAAAGGTCATAAAGTAATAAAGGTGGTAAATCTGGACCCTCCTCTGTGGACTTCAAGGACCTGGAACTCTGGAACATTCACAGTCTGAAGGTAGAACTCTGATCATTACATAAAGGTGCTGCAGATACAGAACCAGATGTTCTGAAGAGGTTTGGGGGACGACTGATGTTTCATTGAATGACCACCGTGTTGCTGAGGCTCAGAAGGTAGAGCAGGTCGGTCAGTGATCAGAAGATCTGTGGTTTGATTCCGCCCTCATGGTCGTTGTGTCTTTGCCACTTCTCCACCTGCCTGGTGTGGATGCGTATGGATGGATTGTTGAGGTGGTGGTCGGAGGGCAGGATGGCAGCCAGGCCTCTGTCAGTCTGCCCCGGGGCAGCTGTGGATACAACCGTAGCTACCACCACCAGGATGGATAACTGACAGCGTTCAGTGTCTTGGAGTGTGAATTCTGATCAGTTATTATTATTATTAGTTGTTATGTCACCAGCTGGACTTTAAACCCATGATTACCACTTAAATGAGTCCAGATGTCACGCTGCAGGTTCTCCTGGTGATCCAACAGTTATCAATGTGAAGCAGAAGTGTTCAGTCATTTATGAATGTTTGGGATATAAATGCAGCTCATTGACGTCAATCAGATCAGTGAGTATGAAGATAAAGTTGATAGCTCTGATTGTCAGACTGATCAGGTTCAGAAGTTCAGAGGAGGAGGAGGAGGTCAAGGTTATTTCTATAGCACATTATAAAACAGCCAGGGTTGACCAGAGTGCTAAACCAACACTAAGAACAACATGTGTGCAGCCAGGATGTCAGCGCCCCGTTGACCTGAAGGCCACTGAGCAGAGGGGGCTCTTTAGGCCAGACTTAAAGGATTCAGCAGACCGAGCCGTCCTAATGTCCAGCGGCAGGCTGCTCCAAAGTTTGGGGGCTGCCACCAAAAAGGTTCGGTCACCTTTAGTTCTGAGTCTGGATCTGGGACCTCCAGGACCATGTGGCTGGACGACCTCAGTTCTTCAACAGGTTTGTGGACCTGAATAAGTTCTGCTAAACAATAGGAGGCCAACCCATGGAGAACTTTATAAACAAGAAACAAAACCTTAAAAACCACCCCAAGATGGACAGGAAGCCAGTGGAGGGTAAGATGTAGTGGGGTGGAAAATAAGATGTACTTATTTCCACACCAAAGCAAGTGATTGCATTAATTACAATAATTAAAACCAACCTTTGAATTATTCGTCCAGCGATGTAATCTCAGAGTCAGCACAATAATTCTAATAAACTGTTTACTCCTGGTGATCAGTCAAGAGTGTTTTATAAAGGAAAGGCGGTCTCGCTGACACTCGTAAAAAGGCATGAAGGGAGGCATGAAGGGAGGCATGAAGGGAGGCATGAAGGGAGGCTCAGGGGAGGCTCGGAGGAACACGAAGGGAAAACTCAGGTGGTGGCTAGAAGTCGCCATGTAGGGCAACACTCAGGCAAAGAGTGAATGTTGAAGGCTCCTCTTATACCGGTGGTGACGACCCAAATGATTTGCAGGTGTGTAGCTCACACACCTGCAGGGAATCAGTCACTGAGAATTCCTCCAGGACGCCCTCTGGTGGACGCCTGGAGGAGGACAAAAACACTGGGCCAAAACCACCATTCCCTGACAAACATAAACTAATGCCAGCGTGTTCTCTAACATTTAGTTGTGATTAAAGTCAGAGCGACAGCCCTCATCTGTTTTGTGTCTGTGGTGATTTCATTTCTGTTTCTGGCAACGTTGAGTCTGTTGGAAGGTTTTGACAGTTTTATGGTGATTTTGGGTGTTTTTGTATTTTGTAGAGATTGTTCGGAGCAGACTGCTGTGTGTAGATGATCCAGATGTTGGTTGTTGAGCTGCGACACACAAACTGCTGCTTCAGGTTTAAACTCCACTTTTGGAACAAAACGCAGAAACACCGACGGCATCAGTTAGTTCTGAGCCGACTGGTTCTGGTTGTGTGTCCTCCTGGTCACTTTGTGGGTCTTTGTCGCAGCTTTGTGTCTCTTGGTGTGAGCTTTGTGTGTTTCCTGTTTGACGGAGGTGTCTGGTTGAAGGTAACAATGACAAACTAAAGCTAAAAACCAGGATGATCTGCTCGTGCAGTGACGGCGTCCTGAGAATAAAGAAACGAGAACGATTGAAAAGTGGTCAGAAGATGTCCAGAAATGACTCAACATGGTCCAGAATTGATCAACGTGACTTAAATGGTCCAAAATGGATGATAATCAGCACCTCCTGACTCAAAAACTAAACAAAATGACTGCCGGTGGTTGTCAATAAAGCCTGAAATTTGTCCAAAAGGAGACGGAAGTGAAGATCAGAACTGTTTACAGGCCTTCAGCAGATCTTCGGTTTCTGTTGTGTTCACAGCCTGTGTGGTTGGAGATGAAGTGTGAACGTTGCACACAACCCTTGAGAATATTTAAATGCAGTGTGTGTGATTTATTGTAGGTTTCTGGTTTCCGCTGTCTCTCTGGAGGGATGAGTCATGTTGGTTCTGTCCGAGGCGTCAGTGAAGGCATCATCCTCAGTTTCGTTTCTCCGTCCTGCTCTGACTTATTCAGTTTCTGTTCCTGCTGCTGCTGCTGCTGCTGCTGCTTCACTCCCTGTTTGGTTCCACCTGAAGAAGCATCATGAGGTGAGTCCGGTTCTGTCAGAGCAGTAGGTTCAGCTCGGATCAGGTCCGTCTGCAGAGAGACTGGGAGGAGGTTTGGTTTGGTTTCAGGTAGATGAACAGAACCCAGAGCATAAAGCTCGTTTTGTTCTGTGTTCTGTTTGTGCAGAGCAGGTGTGACTCTGACGTGTCAGAACATGAGTACTAGATAAACAGGTTCAGGGTCAACAGCAGGAGGCGCTGGTCCAGATGTTCAGGAGCTAAATGTGCAGCTTCAGATTTCTTTTCCTGATCTCCAAAACATTCCTTTAATATTTTAACCAAGATTTGATTGATTTCTTACTTCTTTTACAATGTTTACAAAAGAATTGATGTTTGTTTTCTAGTACGATAAAGGAAAACTTCCTTCTAATCTATGTTCATATTGATTTCTTGTGTGTTTTTATTCTTTATTCTTCTTCTGGTGTCGCTCTGGACCAGGTGCTCATCTCATGTCCCTGTGTGTTGTCCTGTGTATCACTGTGTTTGTGACCAGTGAAGGTCTCGACTCTTGACTCAGTATTGCAGCTTGTGAAGCAGAGTTCTTCTGGCTGCAGAGGGTTCTGGTGCTGCTCAGCTCAGGTTTGTCCATGAGGTGGAACCTGCAGCCCAGTCCTCTGGCTGAGGTGTTTCGGATCGTGATGCTGTGATGTTTGATTGCAACATGAACACATGATGGATGAAAGCCTGAAAATGCTGCAAAGGAAAGAAAGACCTGCATTCATGGTTTTGCCTCCGTTCTTTCTGACGCAGCGATGCAGCTGAAGATCTGCGCTGCAGGCTGCAGCAGCTGCAGTGTTGCTTCACCTGGGGTCTGAAGGAGGAAGACCTGCAGCTGGACGACCTCAGCAGACAGCTGCAGCACGACATCGACCTGCAGCTGGGCCAGCGAGGCGCCGTGGCTCACTACTGCCGCTTCCTGGCTTATGTCAGGTGACTGAGCCGCTGACAGCTTTTACACCAGACAGCCACAAATACACAAACTGACACAAAGCGTGTCCTCAGGTATCTGCAGGGTCGACCACAGGAGGCGCTGACTCTTCTCAGCCAATCAGAGGACAGGACCAGGAAGTGTTTTGGCGAGGACAGCGAGCGACGGCTCATCGTGACGTACGGAGACATGGCCTGGATACAATATCACAACGGAGACTATGAAGAGGCTGA